GCCCACCTATAATGTTTTAGGGGTTTTTTCTTGTCTTTTTGAGATGGGGTTTTACTATGCAGTTCATGGAGGACTTGAGCTCAGTTTGTAGTCCAGGCTGGTCTCAAACTCACAATGATCCACCTGCTTCAGCCTGCTGAATCCTGGGATTACAGGCACACCCAGCTCCATGATGAAATTTCTTTTTTTTTTTTTTTTTGGCAGAACTGGGGATTGAACTCAGGCCCTTGCGCTTGCCAGGCAAGCACTTATTCTACTAAGCCATCTCCCCGGCCCCATGCAATTTCTTACTACTATTATTATCACTAGTAGCAGGAGCAACACTAGAATTGAACCCAAGCAGGGCCTTCACACTGAGCTACATCCCACCTTTTTTTTAAATTTTGAGGTGGCATCTTGTCTCAAAGTTACCCAGGTTACATGAGCTACCCAAAGTTACCTAAATTACCCAGGATGGGCTTGAATTCGTGATCTGCCAGCCTCAACTTCCCAGAGTGCTGTGGTTACAGATATACACCACAATGCCTGGCTGTAAGTAATAGAAGTAGTTCTATTTCTGTGCTATGACCAGTCAGCGAGTTCAGACAGTTTCACTTCAACCCAGGTTGGCCTTGAAATACCCAGGCTGCCCTCAAACTTTTGATTCCCTTTCTTCAAACTCTCAAGTAACTAGGTGCATGAATGCTACCACATCCAGCTCTAAAAACCATTTTTGGGTTTTGAGGGTTTTGTTTTGTTTTGTCTTATTGTTTTGGTTTTGTTCTTTGGCAATAGTGGAGGTGGAAGCCATGGTATTTGCACTGCTCTATATTTCAAAATTATCCAAAACACATTTAGCTAAGTTACTAAAATGCCCAGGCTTGGCTTGAAGATGTGGCCTTCCTGCTTCAGGCTTCCACGGTGCTAGAATTAAAAGTGTGCATAACAACTGGAAAACTTTTTTTTTTCCCCTGGTGGTACTAGAGATTGAACTCAGGACCTTGTGCTTGCCAGGCAGGTGCTTATGCCACTGAGCTATCTCCCCAGCCCATGGAAAACTTTTTGATAGAAGCTGTATCTATGAGAGCTGACCAAAAGTATATTCTAGATCTAATTCTACTCCTAATTATATGCCCAACAAAAAGACAGATATATATGTGGGCACAGTGGCATATGCCTCTATTAGCTACTTGGGAGGCTGAGGCAGCAAGATCCCAAATTTGAGGCCAAACAATGCTGGGCATATGTTTCTTTCTTTCTTTCTTTTTTTTTTTTTTTTTGGCGGAACTGGGGATTGAACTCAGATTCTCGTGTTTCCCAGTCAAGTACTTATCCTACAGAACCATCTCTCCAGCCCCACATGTTTCTACAGTACAATATCCCTGGGTTCAATCTCTAGTAAACCCCCACCACAACCATCACCACCACCACCACAGAGCCATAAATATGTCAGCCTATGTGAGACCCTGGGTTCAATACAAAGCACAGACAAAAAGGGGTGCATATACCCCAAAGCCAACTGTTTCTTGCAGTACTATTCCTAAGGCAAAAACTAAAAACAAAACATTCAGGGGTTGGGGATATAGCTCAGCAGCACAGCATGTGCCTGGGAAGTGCAAGGTCGTGGATTCCCAGTTTAAAAAAAAAAAAAAAACACACCAAAAAAAAAAACAACCCAGAATGAACTAAAAGGGCCAGCCAGATAGCTCAGCGTGTTAAAGCACCTGCTTAGGCAGGCACAGGGCCTGGGGTTCAACCCCTGGCTTGGCAAGCCAGCCCCACCCCGGGGGCAGGCTGAGAAAGTGATTGAGACTGGGCATGGTAGCGCATGCCTGGGAGGCTGAAAACAGGAGAATTACTACAAGTCTGATCTGTGTAATGAGACACTGTAGACCCTGTACAGAAATACAAAAAAACAGAATGGACTAAAAACATATGCATTGGTACTGAACCAAAGAAGCCAAACAAAGAATACACACTACATGACTTTGTTTATACAATGTTCAAAAAAGAAAAAATGGGGCCAGAGAGATGTAAATACTTGCTTGGCAAGTGCAAGGGCCTAAATTCAATCCCCGGTTCCGCCAAAAAATAAAAATAAAAAATAAGTCACTGGCAGATGACAGTGAAGGCCTCTGAAGTGGATTCTGTTAATTTTGTTTGTTTTTGTGTTTTTAAGACAGCGTCTAGGGCCGGGGAGATGGCTCAGTGGAATAAGCATTTCCCTGGCAAGCGCAAGAGCCTGAGTTCAACCCCTAGTTCGGCCAAAAAAAAAAAGACAGGGTCTTGTTATACAGTTCAGGGTGGCCTTGAGCTCACTTTGTAGCTCAGACTGGTATTAAACTCACAACAATCCTGTCTGAGCCTCCCTAGAATGCTGGGATTAAGGGCATGCAACACTACACTTGGCCTGTTTTAGTTTTATATCTTGATTTACACAGTACGTAAACAGGTATGATCACTTTGTGAAAATTTGTTAAGTTGTATATTTTCAATGTGTACATTTTTACTTGCTTAATACAGTTTATGTAAAGAGGAAATAAACCAAAAAGAAAATAAATCTACATTCCAGAAAGCTGACATAGCTAGTATTTTTTAAAACATCCTTCTCTTTGTAAGTCATAAGCAAAAACTATTTTAATTTATAACCCAGGATTAAATGACTAGCTACATGCTGGCCCAGCCCCTCGGGTGCACTGCGCCAGCGACTGAGTCCAAGCATGGTGATGCACACCTGTGATCCCAGCACTGGGGAGGCTGAAAACAGGAGAATCACTACGAATCCAAGCTGCATAGTGAGACCCTGTACCAAATAGATAAAAAGAAAGAAAGAAAAAGAAATTAAATGACTAGCTAAATAGAAAAAATAAAGTAAAATAAAATAAATGACTAGGTAAAGCCACAACTTAAGTCACCTATGCAATGGAATCCAACTGTAAGAAAACCAACCCAAAGCTCCTTGCTCACTAAGCTGTACTTGTCTACTGAGATACAAGAACATTTTTCAGTATGGAAAAATTTATACAACTGTTCAGACAGATCTTTCTCTTAAAGGTTTCTTTTCATAATTTTTTTTGTTTATTTTCTAGTACAGGGAATTGAACTCAGGACCTTGCACTGGCCAGGCAGGTGCTTTACATCCCTGGGCCTCTCGCTGTAAACATTATTCAGTTCCCAGCAACTTGAGAGGCTGAAGCAGAAGGATTCCTGACAGTATGAGGACAGCTTGGGCTACATAATAAGTTCATTCAAGGACAGCCTGAACTATGTAGTAAAACTCTGTCTAAAAAAAAAAAAAAAAAAAATAAAATCCTAGCCCATGCCAGCTAAGCACTCCAGCATTGTGTCTCTCCAGCCCCAAAGTAGCCCTGGGGATGCAGCTTAATTGTAGAGTAGCTGCCTAGCACACTCTGAGGCTCTGAGTTCCATCCCCAATCCAGAGAAAAAAAAAAAAAAAAAGTAAAATCCTATTTCTCTCCCTTCACTCTGTGGGATCTGAGTCAGTCTGTCATATTCTAATATTTAAGTGGCATGGGCTGTCTGTCCAATTTCCCTATAACTGAGAAGAAGAGAGTTCACATATAAACAGGATTGATCTCACAAATAAATAAATGTACAAAGAGATCCTTTCCTTAAAAGAAGTTGTTGGGGCCGGGGAGATGGTTCAGTGGAATAAGCGCTTCCTGGCAAGCGCAAGGGCCTGAGTTCAATCCCCAGTTCCACAAAAATAAATAAATAAATAAATAAAATAAAATAAATTGTGTTTTACTTATGGTCAAATCTCACATAATAAATTAATTCTACCTGCAAACATAATTAACCAAAAAAAGACAGGGCCAGGGAGATGGCTCAGTGGAATAAGCGCTTCCCTGGCAAGCGCAAGGACCTGAGTTCAATCCCCAGTTCCACCAAAAAAAAACAAAAAAGAAAGAAATTCTTCAGCAGCCTCTAAGCCAGTCCAACCAATTAAATCCAACTAGAACCCCAATTTCTTAATTCAAAAGAAGCATAAACAAACCCCTCTTGGTGTATTTATAAATCCTTGCCAACCTACCCAGATAATCCTGTCATACTTAGTTCCAAATCTGCATTCATGTAAATATGCTACAATCAAAAAAGGTGCTATTACTGCTCTTTATAGTTTTCTTTTTTTTTTTTTTGCAGAACCGGGGATTGAACTCAGACCCTTGTGCTTGCCAGGCAAGCATTTATTCTACTGAGCCATCTCCCCAGCCCCTCTTTATAGTTTTCACTGCCACACCAACATGTGCTATTAAATACTGTTTTGTTTTGTTTGTTTTTGCGGAACTAGGGATTGAACTCAGGCTCTTGCACTTGCCAGGCAAGTGATTATTCAACTGAGCCATCTCCCTGGCCCCATGCTATTAAATACTGAGGGACTGCAGGGCATAGTGGTACACGCCTATAACCCCAGAATGGGAGAATCACAAGTTCAAAAACCAACCTGGGCAACTTAACTGACTTAGCAAGATTCTCTCAAAATTGAGCAACACCTCCCCTACCACCAGAGAAAAAGGCTGAGGGGCTGGATTCAATTTCAAATACCATTTAAAAAAAAAAAAAAAAAAAAAAAAAAAAAAAAAAACCTGCTTTAAATGATACCCTTAATTAGAGGTGATAAGTTAAATTTGACCCAGCTATTGTTTCCAAATTTTGCATGCACTAATAATTTATAGACAGTGCTCCATGCCTGTCATCCCAGCCACACTACAAAGACTGAGGCAGATGAGAAAGGTCCGGTCTCAAAACTGAATGCAAAAAAAAAAAAAAAAAAAAAAGGAATGTAACTCAGTGGCAGAGCAGTACCAGGGGATAGAAAAGTCTATATACAGTTAACCCACTGAGCTGTAGCCACCAAGAGAACAAACAACTGTCAAAGACTATCAACTATCAGGAACTGCGTAGTCTACTCTGAAGACATAAGATCCTAAGGATGTACTGCCTTTTAATTCATGAAACCAGAATCCACAGTGAGAATAACCTCAGAGTTTATTCCTCTCCACCAAAATGAGTAATGTGCCAATGTCACAACAAGGTTTTAGGGAGGTACATCTCACACAATGCCATAAACACTCAAGTCATCACACTCATGAACCTGAAAGATAAGAGTTCCCTTATTTTAGCTTCCCTACATTTTTTGTGGTTTCCCTATATTTACAGCAATCTTTTATACAAAAATATTCCTACCCACCTTGCATTAATAGGTGCTCAGAATGATTTCAAAGACATATGGGCAAGAGTAGAGCATCTAACCACTGCCCATGATTCTGATGATAAAAAATGATTTTCAGAGCTCAATGTGGTGGGTCATGCCTGTAGTACCAGTGACTTAAGAGGCTAAATTTGGAGCATTACTTGAACTTACAAGTTCAAGACCAGCCTAGATAGTCATGACCAGTGGCCCACACCTGTAATCCCAGCACTTTTGGAGGCCCTGTGTTAACATAAAAATGGCCTGGGGATGTTACTCAGTGTGAAGGCTTTGGGTTCAATCCCCAGTTTTGCAAAAAATTAAAAAATAAGAATTCTGGGCGGATATGATGGCACATGTGTAGATGGGGTCCTCACTATCTTACCTAGGCTTGCCTTGAACTCCCAGGTTTGAGTAATACTCCCACCTCAGCCTCCTGAGTAGCTAGGATTCTAAGTATAGACCACTGTTCCTGTAGTTGTATAGTGAATTATGTAAAATATACTGCCAGTCCAAATATTAACCTTAAAAATTACTGGAAAGGAAAAACATATTTCATTCAAGATCAGCAAGTTTTTCCAGAAACTTTCTTGTAAACACACCCATGCAAACACATATATTAGATCAGATGCCAAAAGTTTGTGAGTATGCTTACTATTTAATATTGAAACTATCCATTACAAATAAACTGTTCCATTGCCTCAGAACTCTTTATACCTGCTGCCCCAATTTGGTACGAGGGGCTCCAAAAACATGAAAGCATATATTTAAAAAAGTATCTTAGAAAACCAATGACCCTTAGTTGATATAATGATAACTTATCATTAAGACTATTTTCTAGGGGCCAGGGAGATGGCTCAGTAGAATAAGTGCTTCCCTGGCAAGTGCAACAGCCTGAGTTCATTCCCCGTTTCCGCCAAAAAACAAACAAACAAAAAGACTGTTTTCTAGTATTTTTTATCTTCTAGTATAATTGACTTTTTCTAATAGAATACAAATATCAGAACCCTCAAATACAGTAAATGATTCACTGAACTCAACTCTCAGGTACCAAAAATCATGAGACTGAGATGGCAAAGGGCTGAAATAATCTACAAAAAATGGAACATTCACATAAGTAGGAATTTATTTTATTTTACTTTTTTTTTTTTTTTTTTTAATGTATTTGGTACAGAATCTCACTACACAGCTTGGACTCATAGTAATCCTCCTGTTTTCAGCCTCCCAGAGCTGGGATTACAGGCATGTTGCCACAACCCATGTCAGTGGCCCACTCAGCAAACCTGGGGGCAGGGGTGGGACCAGCTTGTTATGAGATACTGGGTATCGAACCCTGGTCCCTGTGCTTTGCCTAAGTGCTTAGTGCTTAGTCTGCTGAGCTTTCTCATCAGCTCTAGGAATTGATTTTAATATTTCAAATCACCACTTAACAGCTATGATTTCTATGGAAAGTCTTGACCTCATTTATGACATTCCTTAGAGACCAACAGCTAAAAAATTACATGCCTGTAATCCCAGCACTCAGGAGGCTGAGGTAGAAGAATCACCTAGTATTCAAGGCCAGCCTGGGCTACAAAGTGAATTCATGGGGGTTGGGGATATAGCTCATGGGCATAAGCGCCTGCCTGGCAAGTGCAACATCCTGAGTTCGATCCCTGGTACTGCAAAAAGAAAAAAAAAAAAAAAAAGTGAATTCAAGACTAGCCTGAACTGCATAGTGCAATACTGCCTCAAAAAGTAAAAAAACAGGGGTCAGGGAGATGGCTCAGTAGAATAAGCGTTTTCCTGGCAAGCACAAGGGCCTGAGTTCAATCCCTGGTTCTGGGGAAAAAAAAAAAAAAAAAAAAAAATCAGCATGGATTCCTTAGAGGTGTACCGAAAAATCACAGCAAGCCAAGGAAGGGTTCATGTCCACAGCTGCAGCTAAACGCTCACTAGTTCTGAGGCACTGATGCCTCAGATGACATCCCATCTTTTCTTTTTTTTTTTTTTTGCAGAAGCAGGGATTGAACTCAGGCTCTTGCGCTTGCCAGAGAAGCACTTATTCCACTGAGCCATCTCCCTAGCTCCCCATCTTTTCTTGAAAAAAAAATCTGTCTCCACTGATTGAACCAAAATCCTTGTTTTACTGGTTCCCAATATAATTCTCCCCATTAGCATCAATTATGAGGAAGAAAAATGAACAATCACAATCCAAACTTAAGGGGCCAGGGAGATAGCTCAGTAGAATAAGCACTTGCCTGGCAAGCGTAAGGGACTGAATTCAATCCCCAGTTCCGCCAAAACAAACAAAAAATCCAAACTTAATTAGAACCCCAACTTCATTAGAATAGCAGCAAAACAGACACAAGGACACAATGGAAGTTTTCTGAGGACAGAGTGTGCATCCTAACCCTTTTGGCACTTTCATAGCATTAAGACCTATTCCTGCATTGAACAGTTCCATCATGTAGATGTTAGTGAATGGCAAACTTCACTTAGACTATGGTGGAAATATTTTCTTCATCTGTATTGCTTAATTTTTTTTGTTTATTTTTTGAGGCAGGGTCTTACTATGTAGTTCAGGCTGGCCTTGCACTATGTAGTCTAAACTGACTTCAAACTTGTGATGAGGGCCAGGGAGCTATCAGAGTGTTGCCGGGCAAGTGCAGGGTCCTGAGTTTAATCCCCGGTACTGAAGAAAAAAAAAAAAAAAAAAAAAACTTGTGATGATCCTCTTCTCTCAGCTTTCTAAATGCTGGGGCTACAGGTGTGCACTACCACACCCATCTTAAATTGTTAAATGCATTTATATATTATGTGTATAAAACAAAGTAAATATGAAGAAAAAGGGGCACGGTATCTCTCTATGTACTATGGTAACACTGACTATTTTTTTACAAAAAGTTTTAAGCCAGGCATGGTGGCACAGTTCTGCAATCCCAGAATTTGGATTGGCAGGAGGATCATTTTGAGTTGGAAATCAGCCTGGGCTACAAAGTGAGCTCAAGGCCAGCCTGAGCTGCACAGTGAAACCTGTCTCAAAAAAATAAATAAAATATAACAATAGGGCTGGTGAGATGGCTCAGTGGTCTGAAGTACCTACTTAGAACAAGCTTGGCAGAGCACAGGGACTGCGGTTCAATCCCCCAGCACCACATGCCAGCCAGCCCCACCCCCTGGTGGGCTGAGCTGGCCACACACACACACACACACACACACACACACACAAATAAATAAATAAATAAAAAACTAAAAAAAAATATATAACAACAAAAAATGTGGGGGCAGTGAGACAGCTCAGCAGACTAAAGCGCCTGTTTAGGGAAGCTTAGGCAAGCACAGGGACCTCGGTTCAATCTCCAGCACCACATGCTGCGTCAGCCCCACTCCCAGGGCAGAGCAGCCAGAATTCGGGCATAGTGTCACACACCTGTAATCTCAGCATATACCTGTAGTTTCAGCATTGGGAAGGCTGAAAGCAGGAGGATCACCACAAGTCTGAGCTGTGTAGTGAGACCCTATAACAACCAAATACACTAAAAAACAAAACAAAACAAAAACAAAAACCAAACAAACAAACAAAAATATATATATAATACACTCCCCCCCCACAGGTCATTTTGCCACTCAGCTTTCACATTAAATTCCTTTCCCCTTATTTCTATGCAAACTTGTTCCCACAATTATGGAGATTGCTACAAATTATAGTGTAACAAAGTCATTCATGTAATAACACTGCTCAAAACATGCCTTTTTTTAAGTTCTCTACTGATTATGATTCTCACTTTATCAGGCAGAAAGGAGAGGTATACTTATCTATATTTCACAAATGATGAATTGTTCAAGATTGCACTGCTTTTGACATAGAGGTAACAGAGGGACTGGGATGACAAACATATCTTCTTTTATACCTACATCTGAAAGAGAAAATAGGCTAGGCATGGGGTGGTACACACCAGTAATACCAGTACTCAAGAAGCTGAAGCAAGATCGGCAACTTTGAGGCCATCCTAGGCTACATAGCAGGTCCCTGTCTTTAAAAAAAAAAAAAAAAAATTCAATCCCTGGTTCCACAAAAATAAATAAATAAATAAATAAATAAATATTAAAAAAAATTTTTAAAAAGTGGGGTTAGGGACAGTTTGTTTCTTTTTTGGTACCGGGGATCAAACTCAGGACCTTGAACTTGCAAGCAGGCGCTTATCCCACTAAGCTATCTCCCCAGCCCTAGGAAGCAGTTTCTATTCACAGTTGCAATTCCCAAAAGGATAAACCCCTGTGTGCTAGCTGTGGGACACCAAAAAAATCCTTTGTTTTGCAGAACTGGGGATTGAACTAAGGACCTTATGCTTACCAGACAAGCGCTTATTCTACTGAGCTATCTCCCCGGCCCCTAAACACAGAACCCCCCCTTTTTTTTTTTTTGGCAGAACTGAGGATTGAACTCAGGCCCTTGTGCTTGCCAGGCAAGTGCTTATCCTACTGAGTTATCTCCACCACCCTAGATCCTGTGATTTGTGAACCAATCCTCTTACCCGAAAAATAAAAGGATAAGGATACTACCTATCTTACTTTTTGTTTTTATTTTTTGTATTTAGGACAGGGTGTATAGGGTCTCATTGTGTAGATCAGACTTGTAGTAATCCTCCTGTTTATAGCCTGCCAAGTGTTAGGATTACAGGTGTAAACTATCATGCCGTCTCAATCACTGCCTCAGCACACCCTGGGGGGGTGGGGCCAGCACCACAGGTGCAGGGATCAAACTCCCAGCCCCTGTGTCTGTCTAAGCAGGTGCTTTAATCAGCTGAGCTATATGGCTGGCCCTACTTATCTTACTTGATTGCCACAACAATCAGATGATGCAAAAACTGTTATGATACACAAATGACAGCTGTTATTTCCATTAATGATACAAATGAGAGATAACTGCG